TATTATGAATATTTCATTGAATGCTGACATATTAACTATAATCAAATGTCTAACAAAATTTGTTAAGGATAGCGGTATGAATTAAAGTTAAAAATGTCTGCATCAGCATTCGTGACTAATAAAATACAATACTTCGGAGGTGGTATTGTGAAGACAATAAAAGCAACGTGCTAGCATAAATTTCGTATACTACTTGCAATACGGTAGATTGAACGATGTTCATAATTCTTAAGCTAGCAAAAAATTGGAGTTCATATTTCACAGCAGGATATTATATCGTTTAAAATAAAATTGTTCTTGAATCGTATTTATTTATAAATATTCGAGCATCTGAAAAACGAGTAAATCTTCAATTATCACTTAGGCTCTTCGTATTACCTACATAAATGTACAAATATTACAACTTCATACGAACAATAGTAGATCTTGCTCATACCAAATCAATATAAACAACTATTGTATTTATCCACGGTTGAAGCAACAACAAACAACTTTCTACTTATCAGTAAAGACATTTCATTCAAAGAAAACTCGTCAATCGCAATTAGAAGAAATGAGAGTAGTTTGTGCAATTTGTTTCCATGTTTCCTTTAATGCTTATTTAGAAGCTTGTACAATTATGAGGAAAACATGCTCAAATTAAATTGTTTCTTAAAGGATCGCGTTATAAATGCTTTTTGTACAGAGGAAACTTGCACTGTCTGATTTTCTGATTAATGGAAACCAACTTGGAAAGTGCAATACGCATGGTACATACAATTCTATACTGGTTTCTCCTCTAAAAATAACGTATTTTCAATTATTGCGTACTACTACCAGCGACGACCAACTTCTTCTGAGATTGAATACAAATTTGTACACTTCAGGATGCAAATAACTTGAATTTTTATTAGAGAAGACAAAACGACTCGATACTTTGAGAAAAGTTTGTAATTTGTATGCATAATAGAAATATAAAGACGAAAATAATAGACTAAAATCTATAAATACTTTAAAAATGAATGTTAAGAAAAAATGCAATAGTTTTCAAGACACGTCAAGTGTATTTTATAATTTAGTGTAACACTTGATTTACACTAATTGCACATTGATTGCAGATATTTTCGTTGAAACTCGTCGTGTAAACAATTGCATTAAAATACGATTTTTCTTTTAATTAAGATACATCACCAAATTCAATATAAACTGCTAATAAATAAAATTTGTTCAGTTTTTCAACTAGGGTTTCGTAACAGTTCAGTTCCATTCGAATAGCATTTTGCGCGCCAAAAGTATCGGACAATGCGAATGGACGATCGATTTCACCGTAAGAATTTCTTCTGTTCTCGATTCGTGCTATTTTAACTGAAAAAATATGCAATAAACAGTTCGATATTGGCTTAATGGGGCCTTCTACCTCTCGCACCCCGAATCCATTCTATTCTCTCTGCTCTTTGTTACCCACCAGACGGTCCGCCATCTTGCTGAGATGTTATAATAATGGCTACCTGGTGTACATTTCCCGTAACCTCGCCACTGGAAAAGTATGGACTGCGCTTCGAAGGTTGCTCTTCGTATTCTCGTTCAGAAGTCGCGTTAACTATCATTGGCTTAGGTCGAGTCGAGCGTGTAACGGATCACTATAAGCAATCGACAGGCAAACGAACGGTTCTTCGTTTACGAAAGCGTCCTCGTGGATGTTCCTCGAGTTCGTTGATATTAATCGAGCTATTATAACGCGAACAGGGGCTTAGATATTTTAGAAAGGAGGATAGTATAGAGTCCCCGGTGGTTAGGACAATTTCAAATCCGCCTTACCAGCATCCTGGTCCAGGTACTGATCTCTTGGAGGCTAATGGGGCGTGGCGCAAGGAGATGCAAGTTCTGCCATTGGCTCGTACCTGTTAAACCATCTACTGACACGGGTATTCTCTCTACTGCACCGATGCAGTGATTTTATCGGTCGCCTTACGACCGGATTCAAACACCGAATGAAGCTGCTCGCGGAATTGACAGACAGTGGCTCTCAAAACTCCTGCAATAATTGCCAACGCGAATTAAAAATTAGACAAACACCGTTGGAAATTACCAAAGTCATCGAATCGAAGGCTCATTCAACGTCTAAGTAGATTATCACCAATATTACAGGCACAGTTCTTTTTGTTAAAAATGGTCCTATAATTTTGTCAGAAAATATTTGTTTAATTTCTTTAACACAACGTTAATTATTATTTTCGTGCAACAATATTCGAAACAAAACTTATTGTCAATTGATGCATAAGAACTCATTATGTTAATTCTCGTTTCAATTATAAATTTTTAAATAATATAGGTGTAGTTAGAAACGCTATAAAATGACAAACATGTCACTCGACTATTTAATATTTCTGCCTTTTACACTAATATTTGAACAAATAACGAATTCATCCCTATGGAAAACAGTAGGGAACATTTCATTCGCGACGAATAACAATTTTAGATTCATTCATAAATTTCTATTTACGTTTCGTTTGTAAAAATATCCGTAATTTAGAATTCACGCGAGAAAGAGCGAAGTTTAGAATGAATGTAAAATGTTTATTCGTGAATAAAATTTGCCCAACCCTGGAAAACAGACAGACAACGTGTTAAAAGGGACTCGTTCCGAGTAGCCAGCGCGATAATTAAATCGTGGAAGAGCGAAGCCCGGTTCCGCGTAAGTTGCCGTCGATTCCTGTAGATCATGAAAATTCATAGGGGTCGCCTTCATGGAAAAACTTACAACCGAAGAACACGAATTATAATGATTAAATATTGGTAATGGATGATAAATAAACATATATCTTTTTAGGAACAAAGTTTTGTGACGTAGATTACGCATATTTCCGTAGATGCGCAAGCACAAAATAATTAAATGAAAACTTGTAAATTTAGCATTGCAATTTAAATTTATAAATAGAAATTTGCGCAAGGCAATTATGCATATTAGTATTCAAATTAGAGATCACGGTTTTTAACGTATATTTAAGACACACATTTTCTTCGTGTGATTATTTATATACAATATTATATTCGATTAAGAAACGATTTTTATGGAAAGAATTTTAGAAGAAAGAGATGTGATTCTAAGACGAAAAGAACAAAATAAGGAAAAAGTACTAAAAATGGAAAAGACATATTGACTTTTCATTCATGTTAAATTCTGCTATTTCGTCCGATCTATTGATAGATAGTGACTAGTCAGTCGTTTAATTTTAGATATAGGAAGCAAATTCCAGAGTATTCAAACTTAGATTAGGGTCGATCGTGGGTATTGGCGTGCTTATTTTATTTTCTAACTATCCTGTTTCATGAGTAATCTTACACTATAAACTTTATAGTATAAAATCTATCGAAGATTGTTGAATGAGTTATTATAGTGAATAAATTTAGATTACTGTAAAGATGTATTTCATATTCTGTATCTATTATTTATACATATTTTTCTATGAAATATAAAAATAAAACAGTGATTGAAACTAATATGTATATAGGTATACAGTTTAATGTTTCTTTATTCAATGATTAAAAATCATATGATTATATTTTTATAACATATCAAAGGAACAGTAAACTACATGCTTCTATGTGATTTTCGATAGTTCAGCACGATTTTCAGGATAAAGAAAAAATTCGACCAAATCGTTAAGTATAGAAATGACAGCCCCATAAATTTTCTTCGTTCGAATAGAATGTAATTCCACAGTGTTTTGGACGCTGAATAATTGGATTGTACAAGAAAATAATCGTTTACATCACTCGATGGTTTTTCCTTAGTAAATGTTTTGTGTATAGTTAGTAAATACAAGTGACTCGATGCTCGTTACGTAAGTTCCGCCTATATTCCAAGTTGCAATTAATACAGAGATAACGACAAGTCCCCTACCTGCGGTGCGTGTGACGTAGTTCATAGTGAGTATAACACATGCATATTGCATTGTCGCAAGAATTATATGTTATATGCAACAGACACAACTTAATATACATATTATGAAAACAAACAAATTACGTCGTCTAAGAACTTTACTGTTTCTGAATGGAAATATTTAATAAAATACTTGGTAAAATAATTCCATTCATTGATAAAATTTATGCAATATATTTCGGCATAGTTTATGCAAAATCGAAACCGTGAGCTTGAGTAGAAATGTTTGAGTACAACAAGAATGAACGCAGATAAATACAGACATACTGATGACCTAGTAATTTGTCTGTGTAATTGTTTTTCATTAAAAAACAAGTCGAAAATGTGGAACAAAATTATTTCGTAACATCTACCATTATCGAGAAAAATAATTTTGAAAATCTGTAGGATATGGCGCATGCGACCCATCATGAGTCTCCAAGCAGAGCTCTGTATATTGTAACGTGATAATATTTTAGGCAATTAGTTTAATAAAATTAATCTTAGAAAGTGTCGTGCTCGATTTAAGGAACCATTCTAATCAATTGCAGCTTATATTAAAATTCGTTAGAAATATTAAATATAAGACAGTAATCTTATAAAATTAATTCTATAAAAAAATTGATCAAAATGGTATTTTTGGTATTTTTCTCGATAACGAGAGATCGTAAAAGAATGTTTATTCTGCCAAATTGAAAGCTTCCAGACGCTCGTATACGTCACAGGCGTGAGCGTTAAGGGGGCTAGCTCGGGTAACTGTAATTCGTAAGGGTCGTAGTGCGAGCGAAAAAAGGAAATGTTAGATAATGGAGGGGGAAAGAGACGGTTAGAAGAAATTGTGTTGCTTTTCGACGAGAAAGGCGCACGCCTTGGTTACATATAGGAGCGATATACATACGCCCGCGCACTAATTTCAATGCAAATAAAGGTCGCCCACGAGAGAGCGCAGACGCCCCACTCTCACACGGTTCTGAACACGGTCGTAACCATATATCTACATACCAGCGCGGAGGAGGCACTTATGTATACGTTGGTACCAATACCGACGTCAAGCTAGACCGATACACGCGACGACCGCCTTGTTCTCCGCGATCTCTCACGACGGCAGTTCGTCCCTAGCATCGTCCACAACTTGGCCACGCGTCGATCTTTCCAAAATTTCCCGGGAAACGTGACCAGTGACGTCGCGGTTACGTCACGCGGGCCAGAACAGTCGGCGCGTTCATCGGAATCGTTCGCGAGTCGTTCGCGAGGTGCGTGAAAAGCAAAGTCGCCGACCATTTAACCGGCTAGTGTGTCGTTCGCGCTTCTGGCACCGTTATACCGTCCTTGAAAAGATACCAGCCTCGCAAGAAGCATCGTGACGCCGCCCGAGAAGCCGCAGTACGCGCGCAATCGTTGAGATTCCACCGAGTTCGATCGGATCGATTCGAAATTTTCGAGGAACGTCGTCGATCGCACGCCGATACGTCGTTCACGAAGCCCGTCGAACCTAGCTGGACGAAATATAGCCGACTCTAAAGGGATTAGGTATGTTGTCATTCAAGTTAAACTATACACAAGAGACTTCCTTTCCTTGCTCATCTTCTAGTGCGCAGTAAATACTCGGTAGCTTGACTACGAAACGCATGTAAACACGATTTGGTGTTCGTCTTATCGTTTCGATCCATTAAAGATTATTTTGTTACCGTCATGGTCCGTGATAGTATAATTTTGATCGTTGATCAATTTAGTCGATTAGGTACACTGCCTCTTGACAATAAATTGAAAGTAATCGTCGGTGAAATAAATTTATTGCGTATTTTGTTTGCAGACAACTCGTATCGAAAGAATTCTGTGTTTTGTCGAATTTTAGATTCGTAACAGTCTTTCAATGAATCGGAAATTTTGTAGGATTATTGGATTAATATCTTTATCTTTTCGTCGTTTATTTTGGAATATATATGTAGGATTATGTTCTCAATGGATTAGATACAAAATATTTTAAGCAATGCCCAAGATTTGGAAGTTATTCGAGAGAGGTGGTCGTTTTGATAAGGCAATTATGGAGTTTTTTTACTGCTCAACTACTTAAAAAAAGGCGATAGTTTACAATGTCAAACTCACGTTAAGTTGATGATATATTTGTCCAGTTGTATTTGACAAACCATACGTTTCATTCAACGTTGCAGTTTATGTTTTATTATCACCAATAATATAACTTGCAGCTAAATGAATTGAATGATTATAGACAATGAAGTACAATTTCTAATCGTTATTGGAACTAAAAAAATTTTAGTCGAGAAAATAATTATTACCTTACGATATTTCTTAATTGTAATTATAACAGATAGTATCGTTTATGAGGAACAGTTTACTTTGGAGCCAAAGCTTCGCAGGCGTTATTCTCGTACGAGTTTAGAAACTCTTTTACCGAAACTAATCGAACACGCAACAGATATTAATAGTTCGGTTCGTGGCCATTAAAATTTCTGAACTTGAAAAATAATCGTTGCAGCTGCGTAATCATTATTCGTACGCTGGACAACGCAGCCACATCGGTATGAAGATATTATGTAAGGGAAAGTCCTTGACAGCCGACCGCAAATAACCTCTACTTCCCTCTTCGATCGTTTCGTTATAGTATATGTATATCGCGAAATCGAAGCTATCAGAACCAGCATCGGTATAGTACGGTTTACCTTGGCTAACCATCTCACTTACCAGGAAACGAGTTATCGATCCGAGGATAATAATTGTGCCATAATTTTGTGCAGACAGGTATCACGAACGATTTCCGTAATAGCGCGTAGGAAGAAAGTTCGTGGAATTCGGAACGTTTAAAATATGTAGGTGTATAACGGAAATTTTATCGTTGCGTATCCCAACGACATCGTGAACTTACTACGAGAACTTTGACCGTGTTTATTGTTTAGAATTTCAGAATTATACGAGCTGAAGCATCTTAAATATTTCACTTATTTTCAACGATAGAAGAAAACATTGTTTGGCTAGAGGGGACACATATTACGATTAACAATTTTTCTAAAGGTCATGTTTCTCGAAATTTTAAGGTCATCGGTGTTTTCTTTTAAATGCAGCAATATATTTATTATTAGATAAAATTTAGCTAGATTAAAACTAGCGCATACGTGTATTTATTTTATTTCAGAATATGTTGAAAACAATTAATTTTTATAAATTCGTTTACTATGTTTAAAAATTTATAGACACAAACACCATTTATTTTGGGTATTTTCCAAAATATAGTAGGTATACATTTACATTGAACGCATGTAAATTAAAACGTGGGTGTTGTAGTTCAAGGTCACTCGAACGTCAGCGTATTATGTAAGTTTGATTTTGTCTTCTTATCAGCTGCAATAGTAATAAAAATTCGTCATTTGTTAATTGTTTATTATAATATTTGCCTCCTCTTTTCAGCTTCATTTTAAATTCGACAAAATACAGAATTCTTCAGAAGTGAGATATAAAAAAGAAATTTTGTCTGCTGGTATATTTTTATAATAAGGAGATTATAATAATATATATTTTAATAATTTTAATAATAGGCGTAGAGCAATGTTTCCCAACGTGGTGCAATTTTAAAAGATTATATTGCATTCATTTTTTTTCATTTGAAATGTCTATTCATACCATACGTTTTCAAAACTCGATACACTATGTAGAGGGGAGAAGGTATAATGAGAAAAAACATTAGAGAACACTGGCGGTTCAAGAAAGTCGATTAGAAACTGCAAGCTAGGAATTTATAGTGCCAGTTTTTATATTAGACGTGCTATAGTCATGATCCTCGTGATGATGTCAAGTAAATATTGGTATCATGAACGAACCATTTGCTATGGTAATAAAAATGACCTGAATTCCAACAGTAAACGAGATACTACAATTAAGGCTAGAATTTAATACTCGGTCTCTACATCGCTCCGTTCACGCATCACGATTTTATGTACTTCTAACTCAATTCTAAAATTATATAATAATATTAATTACTGCATCTTCAATCATTATGTACATATCCAGACGTACGAGTATTCTTTTCCATATTCCGTTTGAAATATTTTAACGTTCTTGTTGATATATTGCAAAAACACTGTAGATTCTCGTTCTTTGGACAATCTCATGTTTATTTGCATTTAGAAAATTAAAATTTTTGGCAAAACTATCGAGTACGACTTCAAATATATTTATACGCTTGTTTAATAATCAAATTACTTAATTAATAATAAATTCGTAAACTTTTTGCTAATTGGTATTTGCAGACCTATGAATTTCCATTGAAAAAAGTCAAGTCGAGCTATGTGGAATAATATCAAGATTCAAAGTTGATGTATCATTGAAAATCAATCTAGCGATAAGTAAGAAAGTAACTGAAGATAATAACATTTTTAACGAGACTATTAAAAATGATCCACGTCACATTACACGAGTGGCCATAAAAATGGATACGAGCCACTTGACGATACTATGTGGTAATAATACTTGGCAAAAGTTGGCAGGCTAGACGACTTAGATAAATGTGTTTTCGAGAATGGAAATAATTTCACAGCTCCAAAGTAAAATCTATTTTTCAAATAAATCGTCTTGCGGGGAATTCTTTCGTTCTTTCGTTTCAAATATTTCAAAGTTTAATTCATCTTACGCATCTCATACGCAATAATTCCTCTTTACGATATTCTTGTAAGAAAACTAGAATGTTTAGATTTTAAAAATAGAATTCGACGTCGAACCAAACACATTTTACAGTTTTGATTATACGTTGTACATTGTTCGATACTAAAAAAATTTCCCCGTTTGATATTAGAGGAAGTTTATTAGTCTGGTTTTTTTTCCTCTCCCGGTCGCTATTCTAAGTTATCAAATGCCACGCATCGGTAATGCATGATTTAGAACTTGTTAATCACGTCTACGGAAATGAAGAATCATTCTGCTTCCATTGACTCATTTAAAAACAGTGAAAGCTATTAAAATTCCACGCCTATCATTTGTGAAGTTTTTATAATTCAGTTTTAATATGCCAAAGTTTGAATTGCTAAATCAAGCTTATTTCCAAAATATTTGGAAATTACCAAATAGATAGAAAAATATTATTATCAGCAATATAAAGTTTCTGAACGATCTAAATATCCATAACAAAACATTTCATTTTAATAATTCGAAACATGAAATAAAATACTTTCTCTTTATTTGTAAATACACGTTTGAAATAGCTATTTTATTTTCAAAAGTACATGTGCGATCTAAAATAAAGTATTTATTTGCTATTTACTGATTAAAATATTATTTTATTCAACTCTTTAAATAACCAACTTTTGTTCTTGGATAGAAGTTTGTTTCATTTTAATTATTCTACTTGAAAAAAGATTTTTATGACGAGGAAAACGACATTTTAAGATCATAACGTATACACTAGAAACATCGTTTCACGAAAAATGATGTTATTTACATGTTACGATCGTCATCGGGCCTTACATAATCAAACTCGCGTTCGTAAGAGAATTTATATCCAGACGAAAAGATGATAAAAATCAGGTATTCCCCGAATAATTACAGTCGTACCAACGTGCATAGTTTCTTGAAACTGGTAACTTCGATACGTTATTTTCCAATGCATTTAATCTGTCCATTAGAAATAAAGCTTTTAATTTATAATCATTATATATTAAATAAAGATATATTAATATTCCAAATTACCTTCATTCAAAATGCATAATAACAATGTTTTTCAAGCAGAAATCTAAGAAGCATTGCTGTGTACGATTTTAAGTGATACTGGCTGTATAAAAGCGTACCAACGTGTGTTTACGTAAAAGCTTACTGCACATGGTATACCCAGAGATGATAAATGAATTAACACCGAGTCGACGGAAACAGAAAACAATTTCCGCGGATCAATATAAAGTAGTGTGTGCACGTAATAGGAAAAGTTCAGAAATATTGGAAGTAGGTTTTCCGCGTATCATATTACTCTTGCATGCCAAATCCCTTTGAATACTAACTTTGGCACAACCTATTCAATAGTTTTACACAACACTCTTTCGTGCAAATTTTGGGTTACGATGTTTCAAGGCATTTTGCACTTAAGAATTTCGTTACATTGTTATCACAAACTTTTACTCTATATTTTAATAATATCGTTCCACGGAACCACTAATTAGATACATCACTAACCAATTAATTTTTAAATACAATGGTCAACACGTGGAAGTTTTGAGTTCGTCATAAATTGTAATCAATTATGAAACACAAAGATTCGCGTGAAAGATGTTTAATAATTTTATGACTGTATTGGTAAGCGACATTCTTTACACTGCAAGCTGCATGTGCATCGACCCGATAACAGGACACTCATACATCAAAGAGTTATTTATTCAAGAGCGTTACATAACTTAACAGTCGCAACAAAGATACTAAAATAATAGTAAAATAGTATTAATTTTACGTATCACAAAACCGTGTACGTAATACTCATATTACGTTCTTTTTTATATCTTTATCAGAAAATTTGCATAATAAGCACCCTAAAATTT